TTGGGTCATTTAAGTGATTCTTTACATATAATTTTTTTATAATTCACATTAATTTAAAATTGTGTATTAGGAATAGTTATTAGTCCTAATAAATTTATGCTTGATATTTTTAAAAAACAATAATATTTCTCAAAAAAATTTATTATCCCCCCCCCTTCCCCCAGACCAAATTCCTGCGTACGCGCCTGGGGAGATGGAAACCAATTTTACAAGACTTGAATAAAGAAATCAAAACTTACATTCATAATTTTTCTATCGATAAATACAATAAATATGAGTGGCTCACTGGATATGAATTTTCTAAATCTCTATATTGTTGGTCATGCCTATTTTCTAAAGGAAAAATATGTTTGGAATGATAAAGGATTTTCGGATATGAAAATTTTTTAAAGGCACTTTAACTACATGAATAACCAACCTCTCATTTGCAATTGATGATTCAATTAAAATCATTTGGCAAATAAAGATTTGAAAATATGATAGATTCCAGGGCAAAATATCAATCAAAATTTTACTCAAGACAAAGTCAAATTTCACTTATTTATAAATCTTTATTTTTGCTGGTTTGACTAGCAAAAATAAAAAATGTTTTTCAATTGCTTCTTTAGTAGTAAACTCTTCATCACTTATATAATATATACTGTAATTGCACTCAAAGCTCTTTTTAAAAAAATCTGTCTAAATGCTTTATTTATCATTTATAAAGAACCATATATTAGTAATAAATAGAATATCGAAATCAACTCGAGATTTTTATTTTTTAGAAAAGCGCCAAGATGTTTTGTGTCTGCTGAATAGAATCTTCGTTTTTAATAATGGACAAAGAAAATGAATAAAAATAAAGTATAACCTGTTATAGAATGTACAATGAAACGTAACCTAAATCAAATTTTTTAAACTTGGCCTATCGAGCTCATATCATTTGAGCTGAATTTATAAATGATATCTATTTTTCTTTACTAATATTATAATAATTGATCAAGTTAATAGAAATTGTTAATAAATAATTCGCCTCACACTTTTATTTTTTAGATCTGCTAAAAGAAACGTTTTGATTGATTAGAAAAAAATCCTGATAGTTCTGTTTACAAATTGAGACTTCGTTTGTGGGTTGCTTTGGTTTCAAAATATTTTGCATTTTAGAATATTTTAAATACAACGAATTTATCAGAGTTGCTAAAGTATTCTAGATTCAAAAATGTGTTATTAGTATCTAGATATAGCTTAAAAGGTATCTGTATCTAGATTAAAGGTCTGCATTGGGCGGGTTGTTGTTGGTCCACCAGTTTAATCCTGTCCATACTTTGAATGGGCATGGTCGGTTTTTTTTAAAAATATTTTAAACATTGGACGGGTGGCGGGTGGGTTGAAAAAAATTTTTAAGTAACAGGTGGGTAAATTTTTGCTACTTTTCAGGCGAAATGAGCAGAACAAACTTCAATTTATTAAAAATAATAGTTTTATTTATTATTGCATATTATATATGTTTAATTAAAAATACATTTAAATCAATAAGAAAAGAGCCAAGTCAGCCGTTAAAATAGGCGGACGAGCGGGTTAAACAAAATTCATAAATAAATGAAAAAACGGGCAGGTAAATTTTTTTTAAAAAATTATGAGCGGGTGGGTGGGTTAAATAAATTTAAAAACAACGAGTGGGTGGGCTTTTTGGCTAAAAACTCGCCCATTGTAGACTTCTAGTCTAGATACTATTTTGTGGTATTTATCTTTATATTTGATATAATTTTATTTTACTCCTTTTTTATTAAAAATAATAATATTTAGGTCAAATTCATTTAATAATATGGCCGAGTATATTTCATTTCAAAAACAAATTTTATTTTACGCAACGGATGATGACAACAAGGCAAATTATATATTCTAATTTATTTAATTTATACTTTTATTTTTTTTAAATGTTAATATAAATTTATTAATGGGAAATTAATTTAATAATCAAAATATGTCGCAACAATATAAATACATTATAAATGGACTAGTTAATAGTTATAAAATTACAGGAAAAATCTAATATAGAAATTAGTCTTTAAGAAGAAAAAAATTTTTTTTTAACATAAATCACGAATATAAATGAGAAAAAATAGTCATATATATTTCTTAATTTGAGGAAGAGATTAAATAAATACAATTATAAACAATGAAGGTAACATGGAAAAGATCTAAATTAACTCATGAAGCCTATGAAATTAGATTTTATAATCTGAATTTCTCTACGTTGACGTAAGTAAACACCTTCTATTGGATCTCCTGATTTCCTTATGGCTCTGCCAAGCTTTTTGATTAGGTTAATTAAAAAATATGTATTATAATTTTTAGATCAATATTTCTAGACAATCTTTGAAAAGAAATCATATAATTTAATATTATATTTTTTTGATAAATATTGATATAAGTTTTAGCACTCATCAAATTTTGAATATTTTTATAAACAAGTGTCGCGATTTTAATATAGGTAATGATTAAACCAATATAAAGTTATTACTCATTAAATATAACCACTCTGCCGTCAAGGTAGTAAAAGTTTAATGTGTCTAAAAATGTCTTTACAGATGAGGGGTGCCTTAATCATTTAATTATATATATGAATTAATAAAATCGAACTATCTATTTTAATTATATAGTTATATATGTGATATCAGCACAATAAATCTTTTAGCTTACCGAAATATAAATTTTAACAATGGAATCCTAAACTAAACATTTATTCCTTTCTTCCTTTCATTCTAGTTATATTTTATATGGAATTATTGTCTTTAATTCATTTTAATATATTTATGTAAAAAAATCAAAAATCATATAACTACAATATCCATCTTAAAAATACCAGCCAAAATTTCGTTAAAATTTAAATTTTATCACCTGATATTGAAATATAGTCACACAGTTTTTTTTAAATTACATGTTGCATCAGTCTTATTATTTCTAAATTATTTATGCGTAGAAACAATTCACTCTTCCCTACATTCTAAACAATTGACAAATTTATGAAATCCTATGCGTATGAAATAAAAAAATATTTTATCATTATTTTAAGCGATTTTAGGTGGGTAGGAGATCAATTACATAATATTAACAAATATATATTTTTATGAAAATATTTCTCGGAAAAATTCTATAGAAATATTTTGTATGTTATACAAAATTTCTTCTGAAATGGAACTTTAGAATGATAAAGAATTTTGCAAAGAAACATTTATAAAAAAGATATTCTAAAGTTAACATGTCAAGAACTTTTCGTAGGTAATGTTTGTTAAATAAGAGATTGATGTAAAAAGTGCAGGTCACGAATATACCTTGAAGCAGCTTACAGAATATGTAAATCGTGGCTAAATTTTCGTAACCCACTGTGTCACCCAATTTACTTAACGACATCTGTATCACGGACATTGGCAAGATCAAAAATACGAACTCCAAAGTCATAACCCACAAGGTTTTCTTGTGTTGTTGAATCTGTTGCCTCTTTCTCTCCCATCTCTTCGCGTCTTGGTTAATATATCCAGGCTCATCTATGATTGTCATAGAAATTCTAGACCTGGATATTGAATGGAGTGTTGAAATTTCATTCGGTTGCATGGGTTTGCTGGGATTAAGTTGAGCGCACTTTTTCATAGCTTTCCATTTGTAATAGATTACGCATAAAAATGGTATTACAACGATAAATTGCTCCCTAGACACTTGATAAAATTTCCAAAGAGAACTTTCTAGCGTTTTAAGTTGGAAGCTTTTTTTATTGTAAATCCAATCGTATGAATACACGTAATCATTCTTGAATTCCTTACTATTTATGAATAAACTAAACGCTGTGTCAATTACACGGGTGATATTATTGATCTGTTGGGATGATATATTTTTCAGGTTAAGTTTATCGAGAGGGTTACATATTTTTTCAGTTTTTATTGTGAACCATTTATAGATTGGGATGTACCATATAAAAGTGTACAAAGAAATGAACAACAAAACTAAACTAATATTGTGTTTATTGGAATAATTTTTGTAAAACAAAGGTTTGAGTATAGCCAAAGTTTGATTGCTAAAATAAATTATGTAAACCAAAACACCAAGAGCTACTAGTGGTTTGGATATCGGAAAATGAAAATCGGCTTGGTACCTTATCCAAGCTTTACTGACCCATATTCTATTTTTTGTGCCATCCAAGAACAAATTCATGATGGGAGAAACTATATACATGAGAGTGTTTACGAAATTTATTTTGAAAAACATGCCAAGTAGATATTGATTTGTGGAGGGCTTCGAAATTTTTTTGCTATTTTTACGCGCTGTTAAAAACCGTTCCGGAGGACAAATTGTCCACGCTTCCAAGCCATTACCCAAGATACCGAAAGTACATAATGAAATGAAAACGATTTTTTCAAAATCGCGGTAACTTGACTTGTATGGATCATTGAACGTTTTCACATTTTCGGGCAGGATGCAGTTAGCTGAAGCGATATCATTCATATCAATATGCATTTACAAATATAATATATTCCTTTCAAATTAAAATTAATGATTAAAGTATATTTTGAATGGGTAAACAATAGTTCTTATTGTTAATGAAAAATATTAAATTAATAATATTTTGATTTTAATAATTAGGAAACATTATAGGAGAAGTAAATTAATCGATTTTTATAATACAAGGTTTCAATTATAATAATTAACAATTAAAAAATAATAATATGAATTTTTTAATCCAAAATTATCGTAATCTCGAAGTCACCCGTGTTCCTCTTTTCTCGATATCAGAATATTTTGTTTTAATAAATAAAATGATCATTCTGGAAAAATAAGGGGCCAACTGATTAAATCAAGTTATCATCTTTTATTTAATTCCTTCCTCCCTCCACCCAATCTAATAAAAGAAAATTTATGTACACGATTCTATTATTTTATTATGTAAAAATAGAAATATTTCCATAATTATCAATATAGATAAATCACATGAATATTAATAGAAATTTAAATTGGTAATTAATTTTTTTTATCATTGAGATGCGATTGGGAGTGAAATGATATAATTTTTTATAAATTCATTAGTGCATTTTTAAAGGAATGTGGTGAATAATTATACATATTATTCTAATAAAGTGAGTAAATATTTAAATATTAAAAAAATACATATGAAATATTTCATGAACATAAACTAATTTTTTATTATCAGTGCCAATGGGTTAAATTCTACCCTCGTTATTACGTCGGGATTTTTTTAAACAATAAATACTGAACAAATTATTAGCTCAAATTTGGTTTATTACATTCAGAATATTTCGCTTATTTTATTGTATTGTTGTGTGTTTTGTAACTTAATACGGTTTCAAAAGGTTAAAAGTTTAATGTTTTTATTTGTCAAAATAAATGGGTGTAATTTTATAAGTTAAAAACAATAATAAATCAAAACGAAAAATAACTTCTAGGAGAATGATTTTATTTCAATTTTAAAAGGAAGACATTAATTGTGTTTTTAAAAATATTGAAAAATAATTACGTTTCTTTTTACAAAAAAAATATTATAAATTAATACGGCTTTCGAGTTCTCTAATCTCTTATAAATTGTATGTAAGTATAATATTACAAATTTCCAGCAAGAGAAGCTAACTTTTCTTGGAATACTGTTAGAAGCGTTATTTGGTCCATCAATTTTTATATCATTTTTTTTTAAATTTTTTTATGTCACTAGCTTTAATAAATATGTCTCTATGCTTGATATAAAAAAAACTATGTTATATTTTACAAACGAGATTACAATTTTTTTTATAAAGTATACAAATTAATGTATTTTTCTTCAAGGATTTTCTCCCACACGATTGGATATCAATTGATCGATGACGCTTTCATCGGCTAAAGTAGAAATATCGCCTAACTTATCCTTGCCACTTCCTTGGGCGATAGCCCTTAGTATTCGTCTCATAATTTTTCCGGACCTTGTCTTGGGAAGGAGGGGCGCGTTCTGAATGTAATCGGGTATAGCAAACCTACCAATCTTTTCTGCGACTGTTAAAAAAATAGAAGCCAAATTTATAGAATTTTCTTTTCAAGTATATATAAAAACCAGTTATAATGAACTCCAAGACCGCTTTGATTTTTTTAATGTTTAAATCGAGTAAAATTATAGATTTATGATTTACCCGAGGGTTTTAAAATCAAAAGGTTAAAAAAAAAATAATTTCTTTCATTCTTTCTAAAACGAATTAAATGGGGTAATATTTATAGTATATTTTTTTTACTAGTTTCTTTGAGTTCTTTAACAAGTTCGTCGGTAAACGAGTAACCCTAGCACAAATAATAAAATCAAAATTGAATATTAAAAAAATCATTTAAACTTTTTAAAATCCTAATTTTAAAAAAAAAACTTGCTCCACCCTTTCGGTCGCGGTAGTGCAAATATAAAATCACCTTTCAAGCTTTATATCTTCTTCTAAAGGAGTTGGTCATATAAAATGAAACCACCATGAATATATTATTAAGATACTTTTTCATATATGTGTGGAGATTGTGTATTTTTTAAAAAAAATTTCACGCATTTATCAAATACGGCATCATATTAATTTTATGAGAAAACTTAAAGAGTTAAAAAATGGTCAATTTAATTGATAATGAGAATTTGTGTGTGTTAGATAAGATTTAAATAATTTGTATTGGGTATAACGACGATAACTCAAAATTGTACAATTAGAGAGATTAGCATATAGTATATTTTGTTAGAAAAAAGTCATAATAAAATTAAATATATGAGCAGTGCTCTGCCCTCTAGACTCCCCTCAACCAATGACCCTACTAATGAAAATAATTCAATTATGAAAGAGATACTGAATAATATAAAGTTGACTCTAAAGGCTACCTCCTAGAAATTTTAGTGGCATAATTGATTCGTACCAGCCCCGCCCCATGTCAAAGGGCTCTTTTTATGGGTACTGTATATTTAAATTTAATAGGAGGAAGGGCTGGGTCGTTTTAAGTTGCTGTTAAACAAAAAAATTGGTATATTTTCTTTTTCATTATTTTCTGAAAATGAAATGTTGACTTACATTCTTAAGAGTAACCAAAAAAATTGGTATATTTTCTTTTTCATTATTTTCTGAAAATGAAATGTTGACTTACATTCTTAAGAGTAACGAAACAATAGAGGCACTCGCCTTTAATCGGATGAGGTATTGAAACAACAGCCGCTTCTGCCACAGGGATATCATTATTATCTTAATATGTAGTATATGGATATATGAGATGAATAATAAAAAATTATAAAAATTAAAATCAACTTTTGATTTTTAGTAATACTTTTCTTTTTTTTCTTCTTTTACCCTAACTTATTTATAATATTCTTTAAGAGGCAGCCACACCTAATCCCTAAGGTCAGATAACTTGAGCCAAATAATTTTTTCAGATTGGGCTGAACATGTGGAAAATATTTATTAGAATTGGAAACAAAATTTACATCTTTTTCCTTTATATAAAATTATTCTAGGCTCGGTATACTCCTACCAAATTATTTTACGAGGGCAAAAAACCATTTTAAAAATCTTAATGGGCCGGGTCAGACCTTTATATTTTCTTTCTTTCTTTATAAATTATAACCAATCTCCCCCCCCCCTCCCTTTAAAATTATTTGACATTATATCACACTTATCTATTATGTTTCTCTGCACACCAAAGTAAAGAACTTTTAACAAAATCATCTAATTCCCTAAAACTACATTATCTTGTCTTTTTATTAACTTTCCATACCCTTTATATATTAAGCTACCTCTTCTAATAACTCGCAAATTATTTTGTCTATGCCGCCTTTAGAAGAAGCGATGAAAAGGTAAAATAAGATAGAAATACAAGAAAGCAGAGAAACAGAATCTATCAATACCTTGTTTACTGTCACATGTTCGACTGCGGTGAATTAGGGCCGATTCAACGGCCGCTGTGCTTAAGAGATGTCCGCTCACGTTCATCATGTCGTCGACGCGTCCGCCTATCCAGTAATACCCATCTGAATCTCGGTGAGCACCTTGAATTAAAAAAGCAATTTATTTTCTTGATAAAAATTCTCCCTTTTTTTAAATTTAAATATATCACTAAAATTAATTTATTCTATATATCATATCCAAATTAGATTACAGCAAAGTACAAAAAAATGGTGATTTTTCTATAAAGCTGTCTAAATCAATTCATAGAACGGTTATGAATATATGTTTAGGGGGTGTAGGTAGTGAAAGTGGAAGAGGGGGGGTGGGGGTTGAATAACCATTTTTAGATACATTCCTGAATCTTGATCCAAATCAATGAGCTTATGGCTTGTTCTGCAGTATGGTTTCAAGTTCAAATGGTCTTATATCTTATTGATGAAACAGCAAAGATTAAATCATATCGCAATTTTAAATATTATAAAGAAGAATCAAAATAACCTGATTTAAATATGATAATGAAAATTTTTATAAATATAAATATTTTACCTAAAAAAATATTATCATTTATTATATTATATCATCATTCACGAAATAAAAATATATTACATATTACTAGTGATGTTAAGGTAACTAGTTACAATTTTTTAGAACTGCCAATAGTAACTAGTTACTTTTAAAGATATATTCAAATAATTAATTTTATTTTTAATATGTTGTGATAAATTAATTTTAAATTAAATTTATTAATTTAAAATTTTGTGAAAATGTCTGATTGTTCCCAACAATAACACAAATACTTATATGTATGGCAGATGTGCAGGGATTAATATTGTCAACCTCTAAAGGATACTATATTAGCTAGTATTGTAAAAAGGTAACTTAAATCAAATAATTATTTATAAATTAATAATATCATGTTGTAGGTTTAATAATCTTTATGATAATGACAACATCATTGCTGCAATTCTTCACCCTTTATTTAAAACAGACTGGCCTTGGATTAGGCAAGAAAGGAATAAAGCAAAAAAGGAGGAAATTTTAAATTTAATAAATACCTTAATACCTCAAAGTGAATCCCAGACGAATGAATCATGCTCAAAACCAACATCACTTGATGTAGTTGGATTTTTTGACCTAAAGCGCCAAAATATTCTGAATGAACTTATAGAAAACTTTATCAAATCTAATAACAACACTTTTTCTTTATATAACGATTTTCCAAAATTAAAATTACTCTTTATTAAATATAATGTTGTTTTAACATCAAGTGCTCCCGTAGAGCGCTTATTCAGTCTAGATAAGCTCATTTTTGGAGATAAACGAGCACGTCTCCTAGATAATAACTTTGAAATTAATTTGTTGTTAAAAGCAAATAAACATTTATTAGATTCTAATTTTTATGAAAAATAAATGTTTTTATATTCGATGTAAATATTCAATTTTGCGATATTTTTTTATATAAATAAATTGTATATTATTTTAAATAACTGTTATACTTTGTTTATCCTAATTTTTTTTATATTAAATAAATGCATTCAATAAATAAATAATGCGCATATGAAGGATGTATAAAGTAAGTAACTAGTTACTTTTGAAAATAACTAACTAATAACTAGTTACTTTTGTAAAAATGTAACTAGTAACTGTAACTAGTTATGTTTCAAAAGTAACTTTTAACATCACTACATATTACTTAGTCATTTATATATTTATTTTTTTTAACTTTATTATTTATTCATAATCATTAAATTACAGAGGATTAAAAAATATATATTAAAATGGATATATTAAAAATTAAATATAAAAAAAATAAATATATAATATATACATAATCTACGAAGACATTAAAAAGGACTATAAAAAAAAATATATTTAAAAAAAGGGGGGATATATATCATCCAAGAGAAGAGTGAATACTTAAAATATTAGACCGGCAAATTTCCAGGGAAATCTGCTGGCGAAGGTAAAATCCTTCATTGGGGTCCCCTGAGATCTGTCTCATTTTTTTTCCTACCAGGGTTGGGTATGAGAGAAATGCCATCCGGCGTAAGGCGTATTCGTTTGAAAGACCCACTGGTTCGAGGGTAGATGGGATATTAACTTTTTTGAGGGCGGCTAGTAAGATGTTATTGATAGATTTATGACGATGTTGTCGTCCACGGGAGAACTTGCAGTGCAAGGGATGGTAAGCCTTCGATTCAATGGGCTGAATACAGTCGATGCAGATGGAGAGAACTACGACATTACAGCCGAGGCGGAGGGCTATAGATATACGTAGCTGTTCGCCAGTCATGAGGAGGCCAAGATTGGCGCTGGGGAAGGCTTCCAACCATTCGTAGCCAGAGTTTGCATTTAGTACCAAATTATTGGGATTTTCCTCTAAGGGCCTGTTCGAAATAAGATATTCAACGGAACGGGCGATCAGAGGAGCATCCCAGTCTTTTTGGGTACTGGAAGCGGGACGGCTAAGGGTGGGAGAGCAGTTGTTGTCCCAAAATGTGAGGGTTTGTGAGAGGTCAGTATCTGAAGGAGTAGATCCATTGTCGATAATAGATTGAGCAGCAAGACGAGATGAGATAAAGGCTGAGAGGGAAAGTTGTAAGGGGGATCGGATACCAATACCACCAGACTTGCTTGGAAGGGTGGCCTGGAGCCAAGATGAATTGGAGAATTTAAGGTATAATATGTTTTCTAGGAGATCTTTAATTTGGGTTTCGTGGGAAACTAGCAAATGGCTGCATTTGAAGATCGGTGAGGATCTCAGGGCATAGGATTTTGGGTATATTAAAATAGTTTTTGATTAAAAAAAAAGGATTGATGAGCGGGTAGGAAAAAAGTGAGTTTAAATTAGATAAATTGTCGAGGGATTTGTTTAAAAAAGTTTCGATTGCTATTTCACCCCCTATCGGTAATCCAAGATGTGTCATCTCTTCTCTGTTGATGGCGAGGAATGTGGTTTCTGAAGGGATGGATGTTGTAGGGTTTAAGAAGCAAATCTCACATTTGGGGAGGTTGAGAGATAGTCCTGTTATATAAGAGAGATTTTCGATGATGGGGGGAATGGACAGGACTGTGGAGAGGTTGCCTGAGACTATACCGTCATCGAGGTACCAGGAATTTAAAGTGAGGTTAGATATAGATTGAATATCCAGGATTATCTTGTGTATCCCGATGCAAAAAAGGGCTGGGCCTAAGGGGTTACCTTGTTGGATTCCCTCCTGAGATTTTATTATGTTGTTATTGTACTTTAAAAAAATAGGGCTAGAGTAACTGTTGAGAATGTATGTAGAATATTGAGGATATTTGCGGCAAAACAAGGGAACGAAATATTGACGTTTGATTGTATTGAAAGCATTTTTGAAATCAAGTTCTAAAACGACATTGTCTGGAATATTATTTGAGAGAGTAATGCGAGCAAGATGGGCCGACATTTCAGAGCCTCCAGGTACACCAAACCCTAGCTGAAGTGGCGACAGGAATGAAGAAAGAGATTCCTTTATTCGTGAGGCAATGATCTTAGAGATAGTCCTTCTGAAGAACCCAACAGCAATTGGGCGGATACCTCCATCCTTTTTTTGAGGGCTATAAGGCTGGCACCAAAGAGAATAGGAATGATAGGTGGTGGGAGGGGCCCATTAATAGTTAAATTTAATAACCTGGTAAGGTTATGCAAAAGGGCTTTGCATGATATGTTAGGTTTTAAAATGTCTTGGATGAAAATAGCACGAATGCCATCTAGGCCTCCAGAAGAGTCTCTTTTGAAAGATCTGACAGCTTTGATCGTCTCATCAGAGTTGATTCCAGGGGCTATATGATCGTTTTGGCTTGAGAAGGCAAATTCTGAATCACATGAAGGGTGTTTAAGAAGCAAGGCTTCTAGAGTGGACTCATTGTTTGGAGCTAAGGAATCTTCAGAGGTCATGACCCGAAGGGCTGAATTGATATTAAGGCTGTTTATTTTGTTTGAAGCTATTTTAGCCTTAAGGGCGATAGGAAGTGGATTGGATTGGTGGGTCTGAGGTGTAGGGGTTGGAATATAGTCAGGGTTGAAAAGAGATATTGAAGTTTTAATGTGTTTAGATAATTGGATATTTTTTATTAACGGGAATTTTAAGGGTGGAATTGGTAAAACTTAGTAGCTGTTCACGGAATCAAAGCTATGCAAATAAGCTCAAATTATATTTCATTCAATTGAAATCCTTTTAAAAACAATAAATAAATGATTGAAATTTAATTTTTTCTATACCTCCTGCACCTATAACTTCTTAGTTTATAACAAGCTTACTCTTATTGAAACTATTTTCAACACATTATCAAGGAAATTAAAATACAACACTTACATGCACTATACATATTTAATTATTCTGACCCCTTCTACAATTTTAAAACCTTCTAATTTTCCCCTAGCACCAACATAAATATCTTCAGAGCTTAAAACATAATTTCTCTCAATTGGAACTTCTCACAAAACATTTTCAATGAAATAAAAATAAACACTCACTGGTACAATAAATAATTGATTATTCTGCACTCATCTACAACAAAACCCCTATAATCTAACAATCCAGTAAATAACCCTATACCAATGTTTTAGTTATAGACTCAAACTAACAAACTTCTTAAGTATCAAACTTTCTTATCATCATCACAATGAAAGGAATCTGCCCTGCCTGTCACAAAGTTATTAATATTTAAAAAATGACCATCAATACAACATGGCCCTCCAGCCCTTCCTTGCTCAGAAAAGTTACTTCCACATGTTTCATCAAATATATTCATGCATAAATTGATCCCTGAAATATAACTAAATTATTACCATTTTAAATCATTAATTTAAGTATTGTGGTGCCAAGATGATGATTAATTTACCACATATCCATTCTATAAATTAATAATAAGTAAGGAATTAATCAAATGAACCTAAACTTAGCTGATGACTTTATCCAATCCTTCATTTAAAATTTATTAGTGTAAAAACAAATGTTATATACATAAGTTCAGTCATCAAAGTAACAACTCATTCCATTGTAATACAACTCTTATAATAGAATCTCAAAAATACAAACAAATGGTTCATGTGGTCCTTGTTGTCCTAATATTTGTCAAGCAAAATTTTGATAGCTATTCCTACATATATTCCAAAATTAATGGATAATACATGCCTAAATAGCTATGTGAAGCAAGAATACAACAATTATAAGTTTGGCAACTATAATCCAAATGCATAATTGATGCCCCTCTTGCCATAAATATACTAAAATTACCAAAGCCAGGAAGTTTCAAGTTCATGGCCCCCCATCCTTTAGATACCTAGGTTTAGGGTTACCATGCATAACACCTACAGATCCTCCTCCATTCTGCCTATTAAATTTAGCAAGCCATCCCCCGCCTATTGTTGCTACCAACTTGCCCCCTAGTCAGCAAACTCCCAACTTACAATCATGGGCCAATGATTTTTTATCAGTACCCAATGTTTCCACCATATCCCGTATTCCGCGTGGTGCTCGCAATTCTTTTGCAGAATCCTTTAACAACTTAATCCTATTAACAGTAAACAATCCTGCAAACCTATCAAACTGGAAAAACTTACTAAGTTTTACCAATTCCACCCTTAAAATTCCCGTTAATAAAAATATTCAATTATCTAAACACATTAAAACTTCAATATCTCTTTTCAACCCTGACTCTATTCCAACCCCTACACCTCAGACCCACCAATCCAATCCACTCCCTATCGCCCTTAAGGCTAAAATAGTTTCAAACAAAATAAACAGCCTTAATATCAATTCAGCCCTTCGGGTCATGACCTCTGAAAATTCCTTAGCTCCAAACAATGAGTCCACTCTAGAAGCCTTGCTTCTTAAACACCCTTCATGTGATTCAGAATTTGCCTTCTCAAGCCAAAACGATCATATAGCCCCTGGAATCAACTCTGATGAGACGATCAAAGCTGTCAGATCTTTCAAAAGAGACTCTTCTGGAGGCCTAGATGGCATTCGTGCTATTTTTATCCAAGACATTATAAAACCTAATATATCATGCAAAGCCCTCTTGCAGAACCTTACCAGGTTATTAAATTTAATTCTTAATGGGCCCCTCCCACCACCTATCATTCCTATTCTCTTTGGTGCCCGCCTTATAGCCCTCAAAAAAAAGGATGGAGGTATCCGCCCAATTGCTGTTGGATCGTTCTTCAGAAGGACTATCTCTAAGGTCATTGTCTCACGAATAAAGGAATCTCTTTCTTCATTCCTGTCGCCAATTCAGCTAGGGTTTGGTGTACCTGGAGGCTCTGAAATTTCGGCCCATCTTGCTCGCATTACCCTCTCAAATAATATTCCAGACAATGTCGTTTTAAAACTTGATTTCAAAAATGCTTTCAATACAATCAAACGTCAATATTTCGTTCCCTTGTTTTGCCACAAATATCCTCAATATTCTACATACATTCTCCACAGTTACTCTAGCCCTACTTTTTTAAAGTACAATAACAACATAATAAAATCTCAGGAGGGAATCCAACAAGGTAACCCCTTAGGCCCAGCCCTTTTATGCATCGGGATACACAAGATAATCCTGTATATTCAATCTATATCTAACCTCACTTTAAATTCTCGGTACCTCGATGACGGTATAGTCTCAGGCTACCTAATAAAAAAATAAGATTTTCTATACAAAATTAAAAATTAATTAGGTGTTTTTCTTCAAGTTTTGAATAAATTTATCAGACCTGCAGAAATATCATTTGAAAGGGCTGGCCCGGATTTTTTTTTTTAATTTTCGGCCGAACCCATATTTTAAGGCCGGGCCCGGCTTTTTTAAAAATATATTTAAAAATTTTTAAAGCTAATGGCGATTTAAAATATTTAGCTTTAAAATATACGGCCTGGCCCGAATATTTTTTCTTAAATATTTTTTTAGGTCCCACCCAGGTGCTAAAAAAATTTTAGCTTAGGGTCGGGCCTGCTAGAGACCTGCAAGCCTAGCTATAAGCCCGGTTTTTGTTCTAAATCGCTAAAACAAAAATCGTTAAAAATTAGGCATCTCGCTTATATCTCATTCAGGATCTGTCTGTCTATCTATTTATCTAATATTAAAAACATATAAATATATTACCATCTCCTGTCGTATAATAACCCGGAAATTTAGTAAAATATCCCTTTTCAAATCTTTCTTGACAATTGTAAACAGTTCTCATTATTCCGGGCCAGGGTCTTTTGAAACACTACAATAATAAAAAGTTATGTTTTATAAAAAAAATATCAACTTAATGTAATATAATATGTTTAAGCACTTCCTTATATATCTGCCTTCTTTCCTTCCTTTCTTTCTTACAACCATATGTTGTAACTTTATCTTATTATAAAAAAACTAGCTGAGCGTAAATTAAAAATTTTTACTAAAAATCCGTCCTTTCCATCTTCAACCTCGTGACCATTTTCGTCCAGTATAACAGGTTCAACCCCGAAAAAAGGAAGAGCCTAAAATTTTTATTTAAATATACAATAAAAAATATTGGATCAATTTAATAGAATGCAATTTTGACAAAAATAAAACGATATATATTCTCAATATGGGATATTATCCTACGATTTATAACCCCCCCCCCCCCCATTGTGATATCCCCAGGAAGTACTATTCTAACAGGTTGAAGGATGATGCAAGCTAATATGTGTAAATTTAACCTACGCGGGTTGAAAAAATCCCCCCCCCCCATGACCACTAGCCTGGCATCAGGCGTTAATGATAATGATGCCCAATATATATCATATATCTAGGTTTTATCGGATAGATACCATAATAATGTTATAATCAGAGTTTGTAAACATCAAAAAAAATTTGAGCCAAAAATCTTTTGAAGATTTTTAACACTCTAGTTTAAAATCGATATAATATTGAAAGGTATACGATAAAGATACTGAGCGTAAATACGATTCTGAAAGTTTATATTCCCCTTAGCCTATAAAACTAAATGCATTATGGATATAGGCCATTCATTAATGCGCAATATCATGTAAGAGAACCTGCCAAGATAAATACCAAAAAAGGCATCTAACTGATTTTGGGTGTATAGTTTGGTTATCAGACTAGAGCGTTGCTTCAACTCAAAGTTATTCTTATATAATCAACAACTGGTCCCGTAGTCGTTTTTCAGCCACTTGGTTAAATTTAAATGAAGCATACGCATTCCCTTTAAACCAAATTGGATAATAGTAGTTTTCTCCTTAGAACTTAGTTATCCTCCATATCTAAACAATTTTTAATTCAAATTAAAAAAAAAAGTTAAAACAAGGTTTACCGCTGAACCAGGTTTGGTAGGCATGGCTCCGGGCAAAGGCGTTAAAACGTGTCCCCCCTTTATTTTTTTTGTTATCGTAATAAAATATTGAAATGAATAAAAAGCATTGAACTATTTTTTTATATAGAATGGATCACTTTTAATAAAATCATATCCTTAAATATTTATGAAAATTAGAAGCAAAAAAAATTCCGACTATTAAAAAATAGAGCCGGACATCCATGTTAATTTTCAGCGATCCAATTTGATATTCACCAATACCGATCAAATATTTGCATTGATTTGTAATTTTTACTAAATTTATCCGCACCTTACTTATTTTTGCATTGGTAAATTCAAGAAAAAAATAAAAAGATCCATATTAAATAACTAATCCTTATATAAATTCTTTTAAAAAAATTCATGTGCATACTCTGGATATATTTATATAACTGCAATCTTATAATTAGGTATTATGCAGCGTAGACAAAGGAGGGGTTGAGGATAAAACCTCTCATGGAAAATATTAGTAAAATAAAATAAATTTTCAATTTTTTGTTGTTTAATTAATAAAAAATCTATTTATGCTAATTAACCTATAAAAATTTATATTATAAAATTTATTTATAAAACAAAGAAATAATTGGAGAAATTATAAGGATTAAAATAACATTTTTATTTGGTGCAAATTACTTATGTATTGTTTAATCAATAGGCAGTTTAATTCATTTTAGATTAAAGTCCAAACCAATGGCATCTAATCAAACCTAAATTCTCGATTAAGTTATTCAATTGTCAATCAATACAAATCAGCTGGTGGCACGCCATTTTGGATTACCATATAAACAATTTGCATTTAAAATTATTATGAAAACTTCTTATTTTTTAGAAAAAAAACTAGTTTTATTTATTATAAATAAAAAATTTATAAGGGAAACCAAAATGACGTATTACCAGCTGATTTGTATTCAATGACGCCTCCAAAACGTATAACTGGCTGAAATTTTTTTAGACGTAAAATAGCTAATGAAAACTGTTTTTAAATATATACCCTCATTTCTATTTGATCGATTAATTTCCTAGTAAATTTAATTATAGATAAGTCAAGTTTGGAGGCAGCCTTAACAAAAATTAAAAATTTCGGGACTCACGGTTTCCGTTTGCCAATAAGTGTCTACGACGACGCATTTCCCGCGACCAACCACTTTGTAGTACCAGAGCCAAGCCTCTGGATTTATGGGCTCCCCCACGGTGCCCAAGATGGAGAGAGAAGATAGGTCATGCCTTTTGATATTGAAAATATTTTTTTTTAAAGAGGTAAATTATATTTTGTAGATTTATTAGCAATATCCTTGTTAGGAAGGCAAAGAGGCATTGGCGTACGCAGCGGGGGAGGGGGGGGGGAAATCCTACCACCCCCAAAGCCAAATAATGCAGGTACCGGATATATTTTTCAAAAATAATTTGTTAATATTTATTCTTATCTCATATATATTTTTAATTACATTTATTTATCACATTCATCTACTAAGTTATTTTATCAATTAATTTCGATTTCTAGTTTTCCTTGGCGTAATTTACCTATTATTTTCAAATTTTAGTGGCGTATTATTTATCTAAATTTCTAGTCAAATAATAATTATTTCTGAAATTGTCCAACAGGGAGAAAGAAATTGCAACCTTGTCCAACGAGATAGAGTATCCGCCATCAAGCAGTAACAGTATGGAGTTAGAAGAGCCGATTATTAATGCTATTATTGAAATATCACAATGGCCTGAAAGAAATATTTCCTCAGAAGCAAGAAAATTATTGGATTCAATGCTTATTCCAAATTTTATTTCTCATTAGAATGTATTATTTAATTATACAACTATTTTAAGTATTACTTTTAAAAACATGACATTGATTTGATTAAGAAGATGAGAATAGCGGAGAGCATTTTATCAAAACTCAAAGAAATTAGGGCTAATGTTGATGAAGAATTTCATATTTTATTGTTGAGTAAAAAGCAGAGCTATACGTGTTTAATATTTGTCTCCCTCGACTTAGCAAGGTTTGCTCATCGTTAAAACATTAATATAGGATCAGTAGAAGAGTATATCTTAGATGCAGATACATTTATAACCAAAATAAATGAATTTTTAATATATCATGCAGCACTTACATCTGCAAATATTACTTCCACAAAAGCCTTCCCAACCTTTTTCAGATAATGATAGAAAAAAAAATTTGTTATATTATGAAGATGTTAAAGTATCTTATGATGCCTTACTAGCTGAATAACTATGTTTATAAGATTAACTATGGTTGATATAGTCCCAAAAAATGCTATGGATGCTCTGCATTATTTCAAACACATTTTAGAATAAATTCCCAATGTGTTAAAAGGGTTTATAAACTCTTACCATTAGTAAACTAATGAGAGAACATTCTCTTTTTTAAGAAGAATAACAGAGGCCTGCAGATATACCTTTTGCAGGTCATGGCCCGGATTTTTTTAAAGATTTTTTACGGCCCGGACTGGTTTTTTTTTAAAAATTTTCAGGCCCGGCCCAGTATTTTTTAAAATAAAATTTTCAGGCCCGGCCCGGATTTTTTTAAAATAAATTATATTTATTTTTGATTTTTATAGATAATAACGATTTCAAATATAGGCTGTTTTAAAAAATACAGTCCGGATTGGGTGTTTTTTTAAAATAATTCAGGCCCGGCATGGGTGTTTTTTTTTAAATTTCGGGCCCAGCCCGGGTATATTTAAAAAAATTAAAATACTGTCCAGCCCGGGGGCCGGGCCTGCAGGTCTAAACATACCAAGAAGTACAACATCTAAAAGTAGATGGAAAGGTTTGGATCTTTTGAATATTCATAGGCATTTGACAACAAGCAAGGATGAGATAATTGAAAAATTAGCTCAATCACAACGAGGATTGGATTTTACATTGTAAATATATAACATACAAAATGCATTTATTCCTAAGAAACTTTTTGTGTAAAGGCTCAAAAAATCTATTTTGGGTCATTTATTTAAGTGATTCTTTACATATAATTTTTTTTATAATTCACATAAATTTAAAATTGTGTATTAGAAATAGTTATTAATCCTAATAAATTTATGCTTGATATTTTTAAAAAACAATAATATTTCTTAAAAAAATTTATTATCCCCCCCCCCAGACTAAATTCCTGCGTACACGCCTGCAAAGAGAAGCATACATTTTTGTTTACTAATTTTTTGGAAATTTTAAAAAGATAGTCTGTTTAAGTATGTGTTCGTTAGTGAGTATTAAAATGAGTGAAACCTGATTTTAGTAATATTATGTCCATGTGTTACAAAACTTACTATCGTAACTTAATTAATGATAATATTCTAACTCCACCTTTAGTAAAAATAAACAATCCCATTACAACCCCCCCCCCCTTCCCATTTAGCAAAAAAAATTTGAACCCTATTTTTTGTGATAGAAAATATAATATTTTATAACCAGATAAATCAAACACTGTATATCACTAAAGAAGCTGAATAGAAAATTTTGGAATTTAGTAAATCGCTGAGGTTATAAAAAAAATCTAAATTTTAGGACAAGCACATTTTTATAGAGTAATTTTAGAAAAATTACTTTTTGACGATGTCGGTGCCGAATTTCATTAAAGCTCGTATAGCCGTAGGAGAAGTGTAGAACTGATTAACCTTGAATTCCTCTATGATCTGCCAATATCTATCGGGTTCGGGGAAAGTGGGAATTCCTTCGAACTTATTATTATATGAAATAATAATGAAGTCAAATTGTAAGGTTAAATTTAAAAAAAAATATATATGCAGTTTTAATTAAAAACTATTTATTTGTATTTGAAATTCTGGTTTTTGTTTCACAGATTTAGTAATATCTTTTTTTCTAAGATAAAAATTAAGCCGATTTTGCTTTATCCTCCGTACTTCCTAAGTAAATTTTTAATAAAAGATAATAATAAATCCTTAATAAAACTGGAACCCATTAAATGAGATATAAGGATACGAATGAATGGCTTGTTTAACAGTGGCATAAATAAGATCTTTGAGCAGGAGAGGGTTCAGTGCTTAAAAAAATGTTTTCATAATGAAATTCCTATATATTTTTAATAAAATATCAATTTAATAAAGTAAACAAAATTTACGATATCCGGGTTCGACAAAATATGAGTCCGATAAACTCGGGTCGGTCGAATAAACATTTTAAGGAATCGATCGGATTCGAATCTTAATTTTAAAATCACCGAATCGGATCTAGACAAAAGTTTTAATTATTTTGTTTTCTTATAATGTTTTCAATAAAATATTATTATCAAATGATCACAAAATCGTTTATTATCTTTTGAGCGCTTGTAGCTTTTTATCCGATTTCGTTAAAAATTTTGTACTACAAAAATAAATTCGGATCTCTAGAAACCTTATTTTTTTTTCTTCCTTTTTATTCTCATATCGATCGGACCCGAAAAATACGTCCGAAGAAGAGCCCTTGTTATTCGCTTGTTAATTAATAATGTGAACTTTATTATTAAGGCTGTGCCCAAGATATCAAAAAATTAGATTCGCAAACTTTCGAAATTTCATCAAATATAAAAGTATGTCCAAAATATAGTTTTATAAAATTTTAATAATTTAACGTTAACGATTTTATTAGAGGTTTTAAAACTTTTTGAAATTTTTTAAAAAAAGATTTTGGACATAGCCTAAGTTGTAAAATTGCGAATGATTAAAAAAATGTTTAAATGTCTAAGAAATAATGTACAAAGATTAGAATTTTGTCAAAAAAATATGGTACATAAAAATCATCAAAAATAAATAAAATTCATATTGGGTAAAAAAGTTGGTTGAGATCTCGATAATGCAAGGCTAGGCTCCTTTATTACACAAGAGATACCCTTAAATAACTTTTCAATCTCTTCAATGAGAAAATTGACGGGTGATATGTAGGTTCGCTAATATCATTTTTAAAAAAATTTTTAACATTGATCCTAAGATTTATAGGATGTTCAAAGTTTTTGAACCTATCAATAGGATTTTGATAACGATTTGAAGGTAAAATTTGTACCAATTTATCGTTATCGCTATATCGTTAGCTTGATCCTCATCATTTCATTGGTTTGTTGATCTAGTTGTTATGTTTTCAAATTGTTATTATCAATATCTTTAATACGCTTGCTTGTTATATAGGATTATTACTTATCAATATTATTTGTTAAATATTATCATCAATTTATAATGAATAAATAATTTATATCGGAATAATGTATGTTGAATATGAAATAATAATTTAATATAAAATATTGAATTGAATTGTAACGGAATAATTGTAATATTAATATATGGAATCAAATACGAATTTTGCGTTTTATAATTTTATTAATTAATATTGCATTTTATTAAATTTTATCTATGACGAATTTTATCTTATTCCAGAATAATGTTTATATCAATAATTTTAATCCATGAGGTTAAAATGAAGAATGCATATTAAATATTATACACACATTTCCTTCTCTTTTTTTAAAAATTTTACATCCTTATTTTTTAATTTAAAAAGTATCTTAACAATCTTATTTTCGGTTTTTTATATAAAATCTTTAAACTTCAAGTTTTTAAAAAATAATTTCCTTATCACATTCTTTATAAGTGTCTTTATACTTTATCATATGATTTATCTATTTTTATAAGATTCAATTTTATTTTCATATCTAAATTCTATTGAAAATTATTTTAAAGTTTTTAATTGTTATCCTCAAATTTTTAATTTGTTTAATACGATGTATGTCAATGACATTTTGTATTTTAATTTCACTAAAAATTATACTAGCATATTAATGTCTCTCCAGTTCCTATAATCAGAATCATGATCAGCCATGAATAAACAAGGTACCTCCTTTAAATTAGCTAGATTTTTTATTTCAATATTTTTATTGCAAGATTTATTTTGAATATTTGGCAATGAATTATGTTCACAATAGTTCAATATATTTTTGTTAAAGGTCTTGTTGTTATTATGAAAATATTATGAAGAATTTATAAAAAATAAAATTTCAAAAATTAAAAAATCAAATTCATATCGAAAGGATAAATTTAAGAACAAAATTGTCATAAAGATAGAAGACAATATCATAAACATCTCAAATTCAGAAAACTTTTCAAGAATTTGATAAGGAAATTATTTTTTAAAAGTTTGAATCTAAAAGAATTATTATATAAAAAGTAATACAAATGAGAATAAGATTATTAAGATTCTTTTTAAATTAAAATTTTAAATTTAAAAAAAAAGAGGGAAATTGTGTGCAATTAGCATACTTCATTTTGACCTCCTGGATTAAAATTATTAATATAAACATTATTAAAATAAAATATTATGAAATTGATAAACATTATTCTGGAATAAAAATCGTCATATATAAAAAAAAATATAAAACGCAGTTAATTAATTATAAAAAGCGACAAATAAATATGAAGCACAAAATTCGTATTTGATTCCATATATTAATATTACAATTATCCCAATACAACTCTATTACATATTCTATAATTAATTAATTTCATATTCCACATAAATTATCCCGATATAAATTATTTATTCCATTATATGATCAATTCTTATTTCAATTATTCCAAATTATTTTATTCATGAGAAATTGATGATGATAATATTTAACAAATAATTATGATAACACATTAAAAATGGTAAATGACAAGCTAGCTTATTAAAGAAATTGATAATAACAATTTGAAAACATGACAACGAGACCAACAAACCAATGAAATGATGATGATCAAGCTAACGATATAACGATAAACAAATAGATAACAGGCAAAAAAGACAAGCAACAAATAAGACAGAACTCACGATGATAACTGTGTACCTCAAATTAGAGCGAGGAACAGTAAAAGAAAAAAAAAGAGTGGAATGTTTATATATTAGAAATAATATTAATATAAAATATTGTTTAGTGAAATTTAGGAATAATATTATACCAATTCTCGATGAATATTATGAATTTACATTTATACATTCATTCAATATAATAAGATTTAATTTAACATATATTTCAATCTATTCTAAAAAAATTTATTTTATGTGTCATATTTTATCTTAAATATCATATGTCAATTTACAAATATCGATTTAAATCTTAAATTTATTTTAAATATTTTATCCGGCCATAACTTTTCCCTCCTTGAAAATTGTGTTCGACTATTTAGAATTAGCGTGAAGTTGTGGTGGAACAGTTAGGTTTAATCTGGAATTATGAACTTGGAATTTTCGTCTTATATTTTATTATATTTTTGCATTTTGGCATATATGTTACCATATCAACATTGTATTAATATATTTTCATATTGGCATATTAAATTCAGAGTTATTTTAATTTGTGTATAAAGGTTATTTTTAGCCTAGAGTTGGTCTGCATTTTTGTCATAAACGTTAGCTTTTAGGAAAATGTAATCTAAGAAATTCTTACCTTTGAATGTTTTAATATTTAGTCCAAGAATTAAAATAGTTTTCTTAAATCTATTTTTTCATCATGTGTTTCCAACATGGTGGCAGCGGAAAAGGTTTAATATATAAAAAAATTTCTTCAGGTCTTCTTTACCAGGGAAATTAAAATTCTTAAATTAAAATTAAATATAAACTTTAATTAAAACATATGAACACTTGGCAAGCTATAAATAAAAAATATTTTAATTCTTGAGCTAGATATTGATATATTCAAAGATAAAAATTTCCTATAAGCTCTCGTTGATGACAAAATGCAGACCAACCCTAGTTTAAAAGATTCTTATATAACACATATTATAATGAATATGAATTTAATATGATAATATAATGCTTATATGATAACTTTGGGTAATAAGATAAAAAATGAGGCACTCTACATGTTTGTAGGCAAGCCGCACATATTTATACGCGCAAACCGTTCGAAAAATGTTGCTTAAACGTCTATGGGCATAAAAATTGAGTACGGCAAAAAAACGCCTATACCCCAAAAACTCTAGTATAATTTAACTACTTTAAGGGTAAGGGGTGGATGATTTAGTTTAAATTTTTTTTGTTAGTCTTAGTTAATTTCGATCGATTTTGAGAAGATTTAATGTATCTGATTACTTAATATATTGAAGGATTTATTGATTACTATCAAAAATTAAATGGAGATAAATAAACAATTAATGAAGTAGGTAATAAATTTTTTTAAAAAATATTCATAAAAAACAACAATAATAAAGTAGTTCAGTTAGAGTTGATTAAAAATTTTTTTTAATATTTTTAAATAATAGTACAATCGAATGGAGGTTAAAAATTAATAAAAAAATTTTTAGCGGTGTTCTGGAAGATCGAAACAAGTTATTTATTTATTTTTAAATTTAAATATTATATATGTAATTCTTATTATATGAATAAATGTATAAATATAAAATCATAATATTCGTCGACAATTGGAATAATATTATTCCTAAACTTCACTAAACAATATATTATTTATTTGTATTTCTAATATATAACAGGAGTGTATTTCAAATTTAGGAATCGTTTAAAAAACTAGCTTTCTTTAAAACCATTAAATTCAAATACCATGTCAAGAACATGAAAATTTGCAATGCACTGTCAAAGTTAGGCATAGAGAATAGATCTTTTACTTTAAACATTTAAATTTTAGAAGATATCATGATAATTTTTTTATAAAAATGACAAAATTATTTTTATGTTAAATGTCAAATATAGTATAAAAAAATTAAAAAAACTGATATCTGTAATTTTATAAGTCTTTATTTTTCTGGAATCTCATAGATACTTCACTGAACCACGCTTATTTTAGAAGGAGGGTTCACATGAATTTAACAAAATTAATATTTTTTAGAATAATAAATAATTCACATTTAGATTAGAATTATACAATTAACAATTAATTATGTCAAAAATTGAAACAATGAAATACATAATTACTACATAATGCCATTTAAGGCCAAGCTATGTTAGACCTCTACTTGTTGTTGTCCTAGTACATTATGCATTAAAAACATGTATTCGCAATTGGAGGATTATTATTATTATATGAAAAGGGAAAAAATAAGGATTATATAATATAATTTTTTCCCGATTTATTGATTATTATTCAATTTTTGTAAAAGTTTTGAGAAAATTCATATATAAATAAATAGATATAAATTTTAATTTTGAAAATATTGATTTTCATTTTGTGAATTTTAAATTATTTTTATAAATTAAGGATTAATAAAAATCTAAATTCGAATTTGCCGTCTACAATATTTATTAAGATTCTTATAAAGGATATTTCTTAAGAATCTTTTAAAGTTATATAAATTAATTCTATATAGAAGAAGGGGGCGTAGTCGAATATTCACTCTAAGTAATGGCAGTTAGAAAAAAAATAAAGATTTATTAAGAGAATAATTTTTCATACTATGATACTGATGGCTCCGTTAGCTAGAGGCCCATAGACCACATAGGAATGGCCTGTTATCCAGCCAATGTCAGCCGAGCAAAAGTACACGTCTCCCGGGTGGTAGTCAAAAACGTATTTGAAAGTGGCCGCCGCGTACATAAGGTAGCCGATGCAGGTGTGAAGTACACCTTTGGGAGTGCCTGTCGAGCCGCTGTCATAAAATAATTATTTCCCATTTATAATTTATGAGTGTATAAACAAAATATTTCAGCGTGTCTAAATCTATGTAGCATGACATTTCGTACACAAACAAACAAACAAATGAGAAGAAGATTTAAAAAAAAGAGTTAGATTTATAATGAGGTTATAAAATTGTTTGACATAAAAAAATGGAGTCAATTGGTGAATTTGACAAAATTGATTAACCTCGTATACAGCATAAATAAGGGAGCTTCGGGGTCTAACCACTCTGGCTCAAAGTAAAAATCATTTTCGCTATTTTGGGTTATTTTCGACATTTCGTCGTCCCACCAAGAATCTATTCGGTCGTTCCATGGAATCTTTATAACGATTTAAAAAATTAAATGATTTTTAGAAACAGTGAATAATTTAGATTTTAAACATTTTGGAGTTTTGTCCTATGATTTAATTTTAATAAAAACTATGGCTAAAATATACATAGATATTCTTATTTTAGTCGGAAATCCAAATAGTATCTTTGGTGACTTGTAATAACATAACTTCGATACAAAAAAAAGTAAATATCACACACTACAATTTATAAGGCATAACTTAAAAGGATGCTATGCTGAAACATGTGGGACAAACATGCCCACAACTTCAAAATAAAGAGTAGAAGAACCTTGGAATATGAGAGCATTTTTTCGGACCCTACTTCAAAAATACAAAAAAAAAAGTAATAATTTTTTTTAAAAAATAAGGACTCGTGTTAATCGGCGCAATTTAACAAATTTCAAATAGACAAAATAATACTACGCAAACCTCGACGCTATCGAAATTACCAGATAATAATAAATAATGGCGAAACATATGTTTTGCAAATTTTATCATAGCGTTTTCAACGTTTCGCTCCATATTTACAAATTATATCTAATTATTGGCTTGATTTTGTAAATAATGCAGCGTTAAATACCGCACAGCTTAAACAAATCCCACGTACTATAAATGAGGCGTTAGTAATTTTAAATCTATATTTTAAAAAAATTAACTTTGTAATTTTGGATGGGTCTATGGCAAGATTCGTGATTAGAGGGCTTTTCGACAAGGGAAATTAATTTTTGAGATTTCATCCGGTTTGGAGAAGAATGGGTCTCTACATGGTTAACGGGAGAAATTGAATTAGATATATTATGATGGATTTCACCGTTGGCCACTGAATTATTTTTGGAGGGAGTGACGTGCCTTACCACTATACACGATTTTATGTCGATTCCGCTATTATAATCAATATATAAATATATGATATAAGTGGTTAATTGAAATTTCTTAAAAATCACTTGATCACGAGATAACTCACGACGCCCTTTTAGTGGGTTAAGAATTTTTTTAGAGTGTTGTGGGGAGAAGGAAAGATTTAATAAAAAGGCTAGTTCAAGTAACAAATCTCGGGTCTTTTAACACGGGTTATAGCCTTCCCCGCATTTCGTGATGTTAAATTTTATCATTAAAGACAGATTTCAGGATATGATCAAGCGTCAGAATCAAATGCCACGTTAAATGTGATTAAATAACACCAAATAATTGATATAGAGGAGGTCCCAAACCTTACTTTAGATACTGAGGTTTTGTGATTAATCTCTCTAAAAAATATATAAACCTTTAAAAGATAAGGAATTTAAAATTCTGTCTAATGTAATCGTAAGAAATAATTCTGTACACTATTAGAAGATTGTGTTTATGTTTATTTTATCATCGATTATAAGCAATAGATGCCCCAAAATAGAAAATCATTTAAGGTCGAAAAGTTGTCTATCCTTTTCTTTCGTTATAAACAATAAGCATAATTCAATAAGTGCAATTATTCGTTAAAATTTATTTTAAACACATTTATACTCGTTCGAGGAAAATTGAATGGCTTGATCTACTATGGGTTTTAAAGTTATCAATTTGTCACCTCGGTAATATCCGTCTACATTATTTTTTTATTTATAATTTAAAATAGAGAGAATATTATTTGTTAATAAATTTACGAGCAATCATATTTGCAAATGACTTTCAATGTCTCATATTATTAAAAATTGGCTCATTTTAATTTGCAGCACGCCCAAGGCGTTCCCTCGCGGGATTCTTAACGCTCTTTGGTGAAGATATTTACCTTATTAAAAAACATTTTGAGCGATTTTTAATGTTTAAACATTGTTTTTTAATTTAAAATAAAACTTAAAGTGAATATGGGAATGAATTAGAGTTAAAAAAAAATTAATTTCAACATATCTGGACCCGTTTATAAAAAACACATATTTTTTTTAAACATTAAAATAATATACTATATTAATAATATGCCAAAAACACGGTAAAATCATAATAATTTCATAAATAAATTGCAGACAAACAAAAAGAAAAATTCATCAACAAATTGAGACAAAATCGAAATCATCAAATTAAATTATAAATAATGATTTTGTTGCCAAACTTACCCGCTGTGATTATAATATTTATGTTGGCATCCTTGATCCTTTCTTCGACGGACTCAGCTGAATAACCTGCAAACTAATTTATCAAACAAAAAAAAACAAAATGTATATTAATATTAATTAGAAATACAATGTAGAGAAAAACCGGGGCTAAACGGAACAATTTGTTATTTTAGAAAATATCAAGGTCAAAATCCGGTCCGATTATGCCCCGGTCTCCCCTAATAATAGCAGGATGATATAATAATTACTAAGGGTGCCTTACGGCTTTGCATAGTTAATATTTTTGTCGGACAAGACGCTTATACAAATTTATCAACATATTTTTATACTTAAAAATGCTATACACAGCAAAACACTATTATATGTGTAAATTCCGTTCAAATAAAAGAAGTTAATAATATTTTGTTTATCGTTTAACCTTAGTTAGCGAAAAAAAAATATATAAATATAGCAATATTAATATATGAAAAAAAAATGACCTTCATTTATATTTATGGAAACTTTTTTTAAAAATTGTATATAAAATATTGGCTTAATCTTAATTAAATATTGATCTGTATATCTGGTAAATTGGACGTTTCAATTCAATTCAGAATCCTAGTGCATAAAGGAAGAAATTAATTTATTTTTGAAATATTGAATTTGTTAATATATTTTATTTATTTATTTTTTTTTTTACTTATCATCAAATTTATAATTTTGTAAATAAAATCAGGAGGAATTTGAAAGCAGTAACATAATCCCCCAAAATGGCGCCCTAAGACAATTCAGACAATAATTTTAGAGGATTTTATCTAATGTGTATATATTTTTTTAATAAAAGACAAAATTTTCAATGGCGTTACTATCTCTCTTTTATCATTTATTTGTGCTAAAGAATGGCATTCGAGTAGATAATATTTTGAAGGGTGACCAAATTAAGGAGTTGTGAACATTCTTTCTTCTCTTCCCTTTTAATCAGGTATTTCTGTTCAAGGTTGGGATATCTTTTCGGTGAAACCTAAGTAGTTTTCGGCCAAAACTCGGTTTAACCGTTTTTGGAATAGGCTCAAAATTGGTTGGGAGCGATGAGTCATTAAATGTATGCGTGATAGTATCTAATATATAATAGTAGGTCTTAGTCGTATTATTCTAGGTTAGAATAATTATAGTAACACAGACCGATAGATGGGCTTATTACAGAATCACCCCATTAATAATGCAGGTTTTATGTGATAAGAAATCGCGAAAAATAACTTCGCAGTGATTTATTTTTTAAAAAAATTAAACACTAAATTTAATTATCCAGATGACTTGGATAAAAACGTATTATTTAGATTACAATATTTTTATTAATAAAAAAATAATAATAATTCAAAAAAAAAAATTTTTTGGAACGGATTTAAGAGGAAAATTATATTCATCCGCCTACGGTACATTGGAACAAATTTAAGAATTGGAAGAAACGCATTTTGAAAAAAAAATATCCATAACCGAAGCCTTTTTAATACGAGCGTGCCGATCTATAAATTTTTCACTGATTCGATCATATCCGATATTACTGTAAACGCGATCGGATAACCGATATTTATTATTAACTAACTTTGAACCAAAGTCATAAAAAAATCCCCTGATAAAAAAACTAAATAATTTTTATTAATATTTTATTCTCCAAAAGTTAATAATTTCATTTAATAAATGGGCAATGTTTTTTAGCAGAATGCAGTGTTGCTAAACGGCTCGATATAGCCCGATTTTTAAAAACGGCTAAATTAAGAACCAAAATAATATTACCTAAGTATCGAAATTTCGCCAATAGATATCCAAACCTTTCTATCATCTGTGTGCGAAATCTCCAAATTTGGGTTTATAAAAACGTGATTTGATTTACCATTGTAAAGGAGAAAAGTATAGTGAAAATTAAAAGTTTCTAATTAAATGATAATAAAAAATACATATAATTAATAATTTTCTGATCCTTTTATCGATAACATAATATTCATTCCATAGGTAAATCATAAAATTATAAAAATATAGGTGAAATTTAAAATTAAGTCAAAATAAAAAATTACAAATTATCTTTCAAAAAATAAAAAGTAAATAACTCCAAAAGTTAAAAAAAATTAAAGTCCAAAATCTCTCTGATTATTTCGCGTATTCAGATCATTTATACATAACAAAATTATTTTATAAAAAAAATATACTGTCATAAATTCAGTTAAGTAATTTTATATAATAAATTTTATTAAAAAATGGGATATTTGCATATAGGGTTAATTTTATTCTGGCTAAAATCTTGAATTTAACCGTTTTCAAAAATCAGTTAACTCGAGTCGTTTAACAATACTGGCTGATTGTGAAACGGATATGTTAAGACCCTTTCTTATTGCAGATAATATATAATAAAATTATACCAAATTTTTAACTTCATTACCTTATAAAATAGGGTTTTAATTTAAGAACCAAAATTAATAAAAATATCGAATCGGTTTTATTTTTAAATATCGGCCTAATTCAATATTTTTCAAAATGCTAAATATCAGCCCCGATTTGTCCGATATTTAATATCGGCACAGCCCTATTTTTAAGTATATGTTTCTAAAACTCTTAATAAACCACTAAACTTTTAAATGATTAGATTGAGCTAGTTAAGAAAAAAAATAACGACACTTTAGTAATGCAAAATCACTTCATTTTTTTAAAAACGGCTTACTTAATATTTAAGTCAGAAAATATTTCATAAGCCTCGGGATTTCGCTTGTGCCATCTATGAGCAAAATCTTCAGGCTTGCGCAATAATTTTTCTGGGTAGAATACTAAGTTCGCTATTAAAAATCGGCTCAAATGAATCGATTTTGTATATCACCCTCCCAGACCATATGTGGGATGAGTTATATTAATCTATCTAAATACAGGGTGATCTAACATTTTTTTTTGGTAAACAAGATAAATAAATAAAAACATCCGATAAATTTATATATTTAAATTTTAAAAAGTAAGAAACATTTCGAGATGTCGAAGATTGTTTTGAATAAATATTTATATTTAACCCTATTTAAAAACAACTTTAACCCTTTGGCCTTTAGTAAGAAAAATTTAAAGAAAATTACATATTTTTATATATTTTTTGATATTATTTTGTAACATTTAATTATTTTATACCCTTGGTGGGGATTCAAATGGTTCCTCCGCCTTTCGAATTGATTTAACTCGAATTTTTAAATTTGGTCATTATAGTGCGCATATATTGAGCGTTTGCGTTTTGTCATAACTTAACGCATTCCTTGTTTAAAATGAGGTTGCCTTTTTATTAATACCGTCGATTTAAAATTTTAACTAAGTGTCTTTGAAAATTATATTATCGTCTGCCTTTTGTTTTTAATTTCTAAACATTTCATTTTGAAATATAAATTAATTCCTTAAATTCGTGATGTATAAAACATGATAAAATAAAATAAAAATATTATATAAAAACCGTGGTGGGACTACAAGTTCCCATCACGAATTTAATAAATAATAAAATGTAAAAAAAAAAAAAAAAAAAAAAAAAATTAATACTTTTAAACATTTTATATACTATACTATTACAAAATGAAGAATAAAATGGTATCAAAAAAAGAAAACCTATTTGCGTTTTTTTTTAATTGGTTGCTAACGCCAATCGGTAATTTTATCAATTTGCAACTATAATTTAAAATACATTATTGCGTCGCTCAATTTGTGCGCACTACTAGAAAGTCCTAGGTTTTTTTTAAAAAATAAAAATTTTATATAGTTTGTTTTCAAAAATGAGTCGTAAGAGGAAAAAAAAAATACTCCGTCAGGTGATTCTTTAAACTGATTAATTTTTGATACAATTTTAAATTCAATGTATTGGGTTCTTTTTTTAAAATATTTATATCAGTCGAGACCGGGTTTGTAATTTTATTATATTTTCAAACCAATTTTGATCCTTTCTTTTCTTACTTTGTAATCATATAAAATTATGAGTAATTAAAATTTAGCCTTGATAAATTGTGATTATTTTTTTATTTTTTTTTAAATCAACATTTTGGCAAAATCGGACTTGATAAAAAACGATTTGGTGATTTTTAAATCATATAATTGTAATTTCAATTCAGCCTGACACTTAAAAGTTGATGCTAATAAGTATTTTATACTAAAAGATTATTAAATATATTTTTATCATATCCGTAAGGGGGTGGTTAGATTTGGTAAAAATAAATTTAATGGAGATCCTAAATGGGTCAAGATAAATACATGACTAATCGAGAGGTTTCACTGTATACCTAAGATCGTTTATGCCTGAGATCCTCCCCTATTTAAAAAAATGAGAATCTTTTAAATATGAGCTTAAAGATCTACGGTATTCGTGGAAATATTATCTTTAACCAATTAATTCCATTTAGTTTGATATCATGCCGTTAAATTTGGTGAGATCTATGAGCCCACTTATCTTTAGGCCTGTCAACTAAAGTGAGCTCTCCTAGTTGGCCTGACTAGATTGATTTTTGCAATAAAACATATGTTCTTACATTTAAAAAACTAAATATAAATACGTTTTAATATTTAAGAAGGAATAAAAAAATCTAAAAATATTTTGTATTTATTATGATTTTATTTGTTATTACAAATTGATTTATAAAATATAAATCCACATTTAATTATTACACTAAATTTGTGACCAGAATTAGCGAAAAAAATTAACAGCTTCTACTTTAAATCCTATTTTATTTCTAAAATAAGTATTATCGAAAGCGAAATTATAAGTTTTTGATAAGGATATAGTAATTAATGAAAAGGAGTTTCTACATTAAGATATTATGCCTTGTAAGATATTTTTTGCTGAAATTTCTGTGACAGCATCAACTTCCTCTAAATGTGATTTAATATTTTGGACGAAAAATTTTTCAAAATATCTACAAAAATTCAATATTAAATGAAAATTAAACATAATATAGGCTCAACTTAAAATACAAAAACGAAATATCATAATTGGAGTGATTTAATCCCCTCGAAATTTATTATATGCTCTGTCAAAAGGTGATATTTATCATATTTGCAATTATTTCATATGTGATATGCCACTGCTATACAGCAATAAAAATATTTTTTATAATGTATATAAACGGATATTGAATAATTTTAGAAAATGGTTAATAAAAATATTAATTAACAATAAAAAAAATTGATTGTGAGTAGTACTAAAATTCGTCAAAGTATTTATTTGTGTAAAAAAATTTTGTTAAAGTATTTGTATTTAAATACTTTTTAAAAAAATTTAAGTATTTTATATTTAAAATACATTTTTTTGAAATGTATTTGTGTTATATTCGAATATAATATTTTGAAAATTTGTCCCAAAACTGGTTAAGCCAAAAAAAATACACTGCTATTCGTCGTGAAATAATATATTTACAGTTTTTTTTTTACTAATTTCGCTTAGTTTATGTCGGGCCTTATAAAATACCTATTTCTTCCATGACCAAATGCCAATTATCCTAGACATATATACATATGGGGAACCAGAATCAATCTTTTCGTATAACTACAAAAGGACGTAGACCCGTTTCGTGGAATATAATTATCGTCGAACAGAGGCCAAATCAATCTCAACTCGATATATTAAGAAATCTAAAACAGGTTACAATAAATAGGGCAAACCAACTATATTCCAGTGACCTTAAATTTTAGCAAAACAGCCTAAAATATTCGTAGTTCTTTATCTTGTGAAATGCAATAATATCATCTAACCGTGTTGAAATATGGGCCAAGTTGCCTGAAACAAAGCAAAGGACACAATGAATGTTTTCTCGCAGAAGTCAATTTCGCATAAGAAGGATTACATATTATACATACCTTAGAAACTAAGTCTTTTTTTAGTGAGAGTAGAATACAGTATTAATCCTTAGCCTAGAATTATAACTTGCATTAATGGAAACCTTTGACGTGAGAAGCGGGTCAATTAAAGTGCTCCTGGGGATAAATTTTTAGCAAAAAATAGAACCATTGCTCAAATTTTCTGATAGTTTAGTTCCCAACTCCCTTAAATATTTAAATATGTTTATATTTCTTTTTTCGATTAAAAATAAATTATGTTAATTCTTGTTTTCTTATGTTATGAATGTGATAATTCTTTTGTAGACAGGTAAATTTATATAATTTATTTTTTAAATCAACCTTTTTAAATAATTAAATTACATGATAAATTAGCTTTTTTGTATATATATCTCCTTAAAATGCTATTTTATGTAGTACATTTCAGGTTGCCTTCAAAACCTGTTTAAAAATTTTTAAAACTTTTAAAAATTTAAGGAAACCTTTGATAAAAGTTTTAAAAATTTCACAAATATATTTTGTTTGTATTCTATCAAAAATAATTTATTCCGTGTTTTTCGATAAAATTTTGAAAATTTTCGAATTAAATTTTTTTTGATGTTTTGGAGATACCCTAAAATAATATAAAAATCAGTGCATAAAATAGTATAATCTACAAAGTATTTGATTTAAACGTTTTAAAATTAATAATTCATTAAACGTTGTAAGCGGGTTATTAAAAAAATATTTTAAAAAAATCAGCTTCGGAATCGGGTAATATTGGAAGTGATTCTAATTAAAATACAATTTAATGATTAATTAAATATAAAAAAAAGTGTTTTTTTGAATAATGCATTTAAACGAATTGCAATATAAATAAAAATTTCGATTAAACTTTTAAAAGAGGGGGTATTTGAAGAGATAAAAAAATAGTATAATCTATAAACATCAGTTAACTCGGTCGATTTAAAAAAAAAAAAAATTTTAAATTATTGATTGATCCCTTATCTATAAAATATACGAAAAAACCCGTTACAATTAGCTGATTTATTTGAATGAATTTATCTTCAATGACATACAATACAATATTTGGTTTAAAAAATTGGTAATTCAAAACAACTGGATTGAGTTCACACCCTTATTATGCATAAGGCGGCTCTTATAACACGAATGCAGATAATTATTATAAAATCTCTGAGAGAAAAGATATTTTGGTCTTTAGCCAAATAGATGCCGGAAATGGGCTGAGTAGGATTTCGCGTTAAAAGGCAAAACACCTAAACGACAATAGAAAAATGAATTAAATTAGATTTATTCATTAAAATTCTTTTTTTTAAAAAAAAATATAAGTGGGGGGGGGGGGGGGAGAAAGAGGGAAGGTTTAATTTTAAAATAATCACTACTTATAGAAAATGATAAAATTATTTTTTTCTTTATTTAAAAAAAATCAATACTGCTAAATAAGGCTTATTATCTGCAATTGTGTTAAATTTCTTTCATTCATAAAATTGTAAAAATATATATTATATAATTAATATTTATTATGAATATTTGAGCTCTCTTGAGATTTCAAATGAAAAGAGATTATTTGTATATAAAAAATAATAACAATTACAAGTGTAAATCGTTTTTTCTTTGCTTTTTTTAAATTAGGAAAATTGATGACTTGTATTTATTTATATACAAAAGTTATCTTCCTTTTTTAAAAAAGTATTTATCATTATTTCATTTTGTATTAATTATAGTAGCAAATAAATGGTCAGATTTTGATTATAATAAAATAATTTTATATTTTCTAGCATTATTTTTAATAAATATTTATGTATCCATTTTATTAAGATATACTATTTAATAACTGCTAAATATTAAATATGGTATGATATGATTCCCAAATGCAAAGAGGCTTTGTAGAATTTTAAAATAACTTTTTCTCTTCTGTATACAAAATAATTAATACCTAAAATAGTAGTTAATATATTTAAAAGGTCACCAAGTGTTCTTGAATACATTAAGTCACATTTTAATTAATAGTATAAATTAATTTAAAATATTTTCAGAATATACGGATGAGAGTGATAGGAGATAGTAAATTTTAAAAAAAATTGTATATATTTAAATCATTTTATAGGTTTAATTGCTTTAATTACTATAACTGAATGAATGGCTCCTATTCTAGAGCAAGCAAGCATGGCAATGGGCAATTGAATTACCATTGGCATATAAAGACATACACGGTCTCCTTTTTTAACACCTATAAAAATATTATAAAAAGAATTAGTATAATATTTAAATTTAAAAGGTATTACTTTAGGTATTTTAAAGAATTTATTTGTAAGAAATTTAAATATATTTTTATACCTTTATGTTTGAGAACATGACAAAATTTGCAAACCTCCCTTAATAATTCTTTGTAAGTTATTTGAGCATGGTTCTCAGAAGGATCATTTGGAACCCTGATTTAAAATAATATATATTATTATTTAACTCATTGACAATGATATTAATATTGTTAATAACTCAAGTGAAAATTTATGAAATCTATAAATATTTATAAAAGCCTGAAAATATATCATATTATTTACTTAGGTTATACATAAAATTAAATATATTATAAATTTGATACCATATGAAAGCTGGTTGATCTCCTAAACCCTTTATTATATTAGCATCCAGTAAATTATAGGATATGTTAGTTAAACCACCGTCAAACCATTTTATATTTATTGGTCCTTTATTAATATCAAAATTCCATACAGCATTAAATTTAGGTAATTCTTTCCAGTAATATTGTAGTGCAAATTGTTCCCAGAACTCATTTGGAGATTCTAATGACCTTTTATAAAGATCCTTATATTTATCAAAAGATTGAATCCACGAATTAGATTTAATTAAATCGGGAGGTAAAAATATATTTGACATTATATTTTATTAAGATTTATTTGAAAATAAAATCATATGTTTTAAAAAAAATTATTTTACAAGGATACATGTTTTATATTATGACAAATCTTGGATTCATAAATAAAAAAAAGAAGAATGACTTATTCTGACCTAATCACATACCTATGATTCTATAAAATATCTAAACATTTTTAATCAGTTACGCTTTATATATACCTATATTGGCCTAGCCACTGGAAGGGAAGGGGGGGGGGAATTCCCCCTTAAGAAATATGTTACTTTTTGTAATCATCTTAAGTTGATAAAGTCCCCTTTCCATACAAGTATTTAGATATAAAATGTGCTATCTATATCTAGATAGATTTTTAAATAAAGTTCTGTATCTGTATCTAGATATTATTTATTTGTATCTTTTTTTAGATACTTACATATTGATATACTTTTATTTAACGCTTTTTTATATTATAAATAAAAATACTTGAATTCAAAATTTATTTTATTAAATATTAGCATATAATTTAAATATATATTAAAAATATAAAGACTAGGAGTACAAATTATAAATATAAAATATTAAAACTTATATATAAAAAAAATATATATATAAATTCATTAAATATTATGTTCGAGTTTATAAATAAACCAGACAAATTTTGATATTACAATGCAACTCAAAGAATCTGCCATTTTTATTTCAATGGAATTGGTTAATTTTATTTTATTATACTAATTTTTTTATTTTAGATTAATATTAATATAATGAAAAGGAAGAAGTAATAATCAATGAAGCATCAACAAGTTGATATCATTTTTTTATGGCCAATATATAGAGCATATTTCAAAATAATATCTCAAAATAAAGAAAACAGATCTCTGATAGTAAAATGTTTGCCATATCTTCAAAAAAATACGAAAATTTCAGTTAAGGTTACCTCAACTTGCAACATTGTAAAACATTTTAGGGCATAAATACTAAATAAATGTTTCTATTGTAATTTTAAATTTTAAGACAAAAAATCAAACACTATTAATTAAAAAAAACAATTATACAAAGATTAGTTGATGAATTATCAAGGTCTTCAACTGATTGCAAACAAATAACCTGTGAAAAAAACAAATAATTTTTACAATTATATAATAATTGTAATTGAAAATAATAATTAGTTTAGAGATTGTAGAGATTATTGCAGTGTAATATCTAAAAATAAAAATACTTCAGTGTAATATCTAAAATAAAAATACAAATTTAAATAATAATTTACCCTGAATATTTTTCTTCTTTATTAGTATATATTTCAAAAAAATGGAAAAACAAAAAATGATCCTTTTATAAAAATTTTCGTCTCTATATAATTTCTAAAATTATAAGGATTAATATTCAAAAAAAAAAATTAAAACATGCAAAGTTCGTAGTATAATAAGTTAAACTGATAAAAAAAATTTTAAAAGAAATAATATTCAAATAACTAATATACCATAATAATCCAAGATTTCTATAAAAATAAATATTCAAAATATTTAACTGTACAAATAATAAAATCTTATTCAAATTTATAAGTTATAAAAATAATTATTTAAATACAAAAAAACAAAGTTAGGTTGGATAAGGCAAATAAATTTATACAATAGTCATAAAGCAGAAATTAGCTCTGTTTCCATGGGATCAGGGTCATTCACCAGGCCGCATTTTATCCGATTTAAATATTAATGATGGTTCAAGTGTAGCGGATATTTGGGTGAATTTTGAAGCTCACGGAATGAGGAATTTGCACTGGGTATGATGAGGAATCTTCCTTTACCGGATCTACAATGTATAATGTCTTCCTTTGCTGTCTATGTTAATTCGTCTACCAGAGCAGATGAGAAGGTTATTGCACAATTTAGGCGGGTTAACTTTAGAGCTGAAATGGGCCCGGATCCATTAAGCAATATGTGAAGAAAGAACGGTCCTTTAATAACGTGCTAGAGAATTGAATTCAGCGTAGCATGCTACAACACCCCTGTCCCAATACTTCTGCCTGTTGAATTCCGTTAATGGGACATCATCTTAAGTGTGGGAAATGATTGGGTATGGAAAAACTGCTCGAAATAGACAGTGATAGCAAAATCGATGGAAGATCTAATCCCCAAACCACCACTTTTAGTTGGTAATGAAGCATGAACCCATGTTGTTGTATTGAATTTAATATTCAAGATATCTTCGGGTGTATCTTTAATTACCTCTTCATAAATTCTGAGAAGAATTGGAAATTTAAAAATATTGAGCGCAGAGCATAATGGATACTTGGAATATTAAAGATGTTTTCAATGAGGAAGTATGGCAAGGGAGCAACTCAAGATGATCACCACTCCTATGGAACATATCTAGAGTAGTATGGAGGAAGACACTGATAGTCGAGATATTTGACTAATGTGGAACCCTAGATGTATTAGTTCCTCATAAGAGGATATATGAGACCAACCGATCATCCTATTTCCTTGATAATGTCTACGCCTTTATTGATTTTCAATCGAAATCCATTTATAATTCCGTTATCTATATACAGAGGTGAAGTGAAAGTGATCATTTTGAACTAATGGTTGAAAGTGATCATTTTGAACTAATGGTTTGAATTATTTTATTGATTGCCAGGCAAAATAAAAGGTATCCTAGTGGATCACCTTGTTTGATGTTCTCGGTTGAAAGTATTTATTGAGAAATGAATTACAAAATAGATGGAAATTGGTAAAAAGAAAATAGAAATTTGGTGTAGCATGAGAATGATGTGCTCGCTGATTGCAAGAATGAGTTACGGGAGAGGGTGTTAAAACATTAGCGAAATCAATCTTGATAAGTATTCCATATGCTCTCTATATGAAGACAAATAACATGATGAGCTGTTTACATTCGACAATGATTCTATCCCCAATCAAAATGGTGTTGAATGTGAGAGGCCTTCAGTGGATTATATCATTTTAACCACAAGGCTACGGAAAGTTGAACCAATGGCTATTGGACTGATTTCTTTACTAGACTTCTGTAAGGCAATAGGAGACAAAGCTGGGTACACAATATAAGATTCAAAATTTATATTTTTGTGATTTTAGGAAGAATTAAAGTTTGTGAGCTGATCAATGAAGAAATTTCACCATAGTGGAACATGGGCTTGATCCCGTCAAGGCCGTGCAAGGCCGTAAGAACGGTCCTGGTGGAAAGATTAGATATCTTTTATACTTCGTCTGAAATGAAATCGGAAGCACATTGAGTATAAAGTTATGTGATTAATGTTGAAATGAAAGAAGATTGTTTTAAAAAGAGTTTTATGTATATCTCATCTGCCTGGTGGCTAGTGAATCATAAGAAGAGACCAATTTGAAAGCATCTTAAAAATTTAAACAATCCATTTTCTTTTAAATCAGTTTAACTTTAGACTCAAGAGGCGAACCTTTTTTTGTTATAAATAATTGTGGAGAATCTTAAACTCTTGGAGATGGGAACAAGCGTTGCAGTCGCCATCTTTAATTTGTTAAGTTAAAACCCATAAATATGGATTTAAGTCATTCCGCCTCATATTAAGGTTAGGTAGTAAAGAGGAAATGCAATCAGAAGGAGATTTAGCTGTAGCCGCTTTGCGAATTCTAGATAGAGATCTGATTTGAAGGGGGTTCTTGAATGTGCTGCGAAGCGGGCAAGCATTCTGGGAGCGAGGTGTATTTAAATTATTATTTAGAAAGAAAGCAAAATAAAGGGTATATGGTTGTAGGGTTTACCTTAGAAGTCTGCAAACCCAACCCTCCCATACTTCGGGATTGGTCGGGTTTTCTAAAATATTTAAAACTTTTGGCAGGATGTGAGAAGGTAAAAACTTATTAAGTAATTAAAGCACTTGGGGGATGGGGGTGGGGGAAAAAAATTTTCAAGCGAAACGAAGATAACAGAATTCAATTTTTTATAAATAAAGGCTTTACTTTATAATATTGAATATAATATATGTTTAATAAAAAATGCATTAAAATAAATAAATAAAGATCTAAACCAGCTATTAAAAAAATTTTAAACATTAGGCGGGTGGGTAATTTTTTTAAAAAAAATTATAAATAAATGTCTGGGTTTAAAATATTTCAAAATAATAAGTGAGTCAGCTTGCAGTAACCCCAGATCATTGTAAAGTCTATATTTCTCAGTAATTATTGATATGAATAAATGTAATTCTGACTTAAAGCTATCCATAACCTCCCAGTAATGATGATGTTCTAATCTTTTTATCCCCTTCTGAATGAAGTTTAACAACATGAGCTAACTAAGAGTTACTCTAAAATTTTATAATTCATATTTATTCTGAAATAATTTGAGCGTAGTGTTATTATTAACAAGGGAATCAATCTTGATTATAGGTGTATACGATTATTTGTAGTTTCTACTTAATATAAATTTAATTTAAATTTATTTAAGTACAGATATTATTTAGATTCAATGATCTAAGGTTAACTAATTAAAATTGTAGTATCCCTACCATGTATATTTGATTTCAATTTTATGTTCAAAAATCGTTGTAATGTCTTAAGAGCAAATATATTATGTATACTTTACTAGCACTATTGCAGAATATAATTAAATCCTCTATTCGATAATTTGTAATAATTCTAAAATAAATTTAACATTCTTTTAATATTTATTTAATTGGAAAATGATATGACACAACATATAAAATCGATATTAGAATCTATCCAAGCATTCCTAGCCACAATTATGCTCTGATAAAAAACTATTTTGATGATACTGCGATTTACTTACAGAGAACATCTCCTGCGCATTTCTAAGTCCAGTCTACGAGATTAATTATGCGATAATCAAAAAAAAATAACACTTACTATTCTCATCTCCTATTGAACTTTTGCTAATTTGATTAATAGATTTAAAAAAAGATTAAATTATTTTTTAATTGAAAAATTAGTTTTTATCAAATAAATTATGTTATTTCATTGTTAATATACAAATATCGATTAAAAATATAAATAAACTACCTTATTTATAATATATAATAAATAATAACTACTTACAGAATAACCCTCTA